ACCCGGAACCATCTATCACTTGGATGCGCGAGGGCACAGTGATTGTTTCTTCTGCCCGTCACCACATCACCACTACACCCTGCAAGTCCTCCTTCAGGATCTCAGCAGCTGAGGTTTCCGATGACGGCAGCTACACCCTGCAGGTGGAAAACAGAGCAGGCAAACAAGAGGCTAGTTTCACTCTGACTGTCCGCAAATCTGAGCCCAAGGACCAAGTGGTCACCTCTCCCACAGCCACCTCTTCAGAGGCCAAGTCCCCTCTTCCCAAGTCTCCAGAACCAGTTACATCCCCACAGAGAGTCAAGTCTCCAGAGCCAATCAAGTCGCCTCTAAGAGTGAAGTCTCCAGTGTCACTGAAATCGCCAACGCCCAAGTCTCCAACTGTAAAATCTCCAACACCCATGTCCCCTACACCCAAATCCCCAACATTCAAGTCCCCAACAGTGAAATCTCCAACACCCATGTCCCCTACACCCAAATCCCCAACACCAAAGTCCCCAACGCCAAAGTTCTCTACAATGAAATCCCCGACACCCAAGTCCCCAACTCCTAAATCTCCACCTCCCAGCAGTTAAAGGACATGATTTAAGTGAGTATTTTCACCAGTTTTTTTTACCTTGTGCTGCAGTGGGTTTGACTCTTTGTCTCTTCTCTGTCTGTTCTGTAGATGTTGATCACCATGTGAATCAGACTGAGAGACTTGGACTCGAACCTCCATCACCTTTATTTCTCCAATTTATGCAGCCTTTTTAGTGAATTTGAAACACAAATGTACATGTTAAAATCTGAATTTGTGTTCTTGTAAATATAAAATATTTTTGTAATGAATGTGACATTAATTGGAACCAGACCCGGGTCAAAGCTTGTTTCTCGGATCACCATGAGTCTTTTTTCTGCGACGTGTACATAATGTATATACAGCCGAAATGAAAGGTTATGGAAATGTTTGCATTGTTATTTATGACGAAAGGTTCTACAGGAGAAAGTTTCCTTAGGAACGATTATCCTGTGACGTTGTGAAACTAAAACTCTGTGCCTCAACGTTCCGTTGAAGTCTGAAGATCGCCTCGGCAGGTGGAGAGTCTCCCTGCCGATGTTCCCAGGAAACAGGAAGATGCTTATTTTCTAGTTCTTACACGCGTGGCCGCGTGCGAGATTTTACTTGTGAGTTGTATCGTGAATATGAGACCCTGAATGCTGCCTGCACCACCCTCGTACAGGCAGCACGAACTGGTCTCGGGTTCAGACCGACTTTGTCAAAAACCACCCACTGTTTGATGACATACTGAGGGCACGAGCGGCCTGTGCTCTCAGCAGTTGCATCATTTTTATTTTTGTTTTTTTTTGTTTTTCTAAAGAGCGCTGTTTCTTCGCAGCACTGTGGCATTTCAACTTTTCCCTGAGAGAGAAAAAAATGGAAACATCTCTGGCCATAAAATAAGGAAAAGAAGAAGCCAATTTGCAGCGCAGATTCAACGTCACCTCCGGGAGGATAGGTAGTTCAAATGTTAATGTGTTCTTTTTTTCTGTTTGTGTGCGAGTGTTTGTAGCTTTTAGTTGTTTCAGGGTTGTTTTGCTACGTGAGCACGGAGACTCCACCTCCGGTGACATCACAGTGATGGTGTATCACTCTGCTCTTTGATTTGATGGGTTTGTTGATGTAGGAACTTTTTTTGTCCTCCCTGAGTTTTGTTGATTTAATAAAGCATGATTTCAGCACACAAACATGTCTCCGCTCTTCATTCGGTCCCTGCTGTGGGTCAGTGGTGCAGCTTCTTACCCACCATTAATCCATGCCGTAGATGAGAAAGGTATTTCTCTAACATGGGTTAATAAAACGGGTGAACTGAGTAAAACCAACTTTACACTTTATTGTTGAATTATAATGTAGGAACTTTGCAATAAGATATTGGGGGGGCGTGATGTCCTTCCAATGGAATATGGCACGTTGAACATCAGTGTACCACTGCTGTAAATGCTTGAATGATAACATGCCTCCAGTCACTAGGTGGCAGCAACTCTTACAGTGGTGTGTACAGATAAAAATATACATGGTATCAGGTTCTCAAGTAGTAGTATTTAAATTCGCGAGGGTGTGGGTCTGAAGGAGGGAAACATTTCATAAAAGCATTTCTGTCCCCGGGGGTTTGGGGGGGCATGACAAAAAAAAAATTGAGATCTACTGGTCGAACATTTATGACTTCAATCCATCCAATAATATGTTTCTAATATATTTGTTTGTTTTGTTTTTGTGCAATATTCTAATACTTTTTTGTAATTATTTTCTGTCGTATTTTATTTCGATGCGTTGTTTATCTCCTCTGTGTTGGTCAAATGTTTTGTTTTTGACATTCGGCAGTGACACCCAGTGGCTGTTAGGTGTCACTGCAGCAGCAGCAGCTTCATACCTGCAGCAAGTTTGGTCGTGTGATTCGATCATTGATCGGTTCATCAGATTTTTATTACGTAGGTGGAAGCTTTAGCACGACAGGTGTTTTATTTGTTTTATTTTAGTTTTAAAGTCCACGGTGTGTGTGTGTGTGTGACTGAGTGACCGTTTTCTCTCGCATCTAAAACCTTTTTTTTTTCCAGACCAATGACGGTGTGGACAAACTATTCCTCAAAGTTGTGCTGCTGCGTGGTTGGAAGAAAAAACAAATCTTATTTTAACGAATGGCAAATGATTCAATCTTTCGTTTCTGAGTTTATACCTTTGCAGCCAGAGCATAGTTAACAACAACAACTACAACTACAACTACAACAACTACAACAAGAGACGTAGACGCGCGTTCATGTGATCAGTTAAATCCACGACTTTAGTCCGAAGAGTTTGTTGTGGGAGTTAAGGGTGAAACATCTTTTTTTTTAAGAGTCTCATTAGGGCCGTTTGTACCAGCAGAGGTCGCTCACAGACAAAGTCAGCACAGTAGACCGCGCGCGCACACGCACTCACAGACACTGTCACATGTTTATAGAACATAAAAAGAAAAAAAAAGAGGAGAACGGAAGAGGATGGTACCCGAGTTAAACAAATATGAGACAGAAAGCCATATAAAGACAAAACACGCTGCTCCAGTGAACACGCACACACACACACACACACACACACACACACACACGCTTTCAGACCCAACATGGACATGCTGTCTGCTGCAGATCTCCTTCTCCTCCTTTTCCTTCTCCTTCATCTTGTTCCAGTTATTTCTTCTTCTTTTCTTCTTCTGTTCCATGGCTCTGAAGACACTTTGAAAGTTAAAATGACAGATTATTTTAAAGAACCATTTCATTCCCCCCCCCCTAACAGTCCAAACTGTTGAACATCAGGAGTTTTTCTACTCATTCTCTCTATTTTTTTTCATATCTTTCGACATGAATCAGGATTTCCTGTGTGAAATATTTACCACTAACAAAGAGACGCACATGGCAGTTATACGGTTTTAGATGATGCAGATCTGCTGCTACAAGATGCTAAATATGTATGCACTTATACAACAAGCATTTGGGTTGTTTTTTTTTTAAATAATCCTACAGCTGACGAACCAAACCTCACAGAGAAAATCAGCTTTTTTAGTCCCTCAGAGACTCGTTGTAGTTGAAGTCATCACCGAGGTCTTTTCTGTTACCGTTACTTTGTCACTGTTCAGAATGACCTGGGTGAAACCACATGACCACAGCATCTACCTGCAGCGCCACCTGCAGTGCCACCTGCAGCGCCACCTGCAGCGCCACCTGCAGCTCCTGCGATCCTCTCTGCAGGAGAAGCCCCTCGCCGTATAAGACGTTGCTTTCTCCTGATTTGTGTAAAGGGACAGAACACATTTCAGCCTGGTTTTGCCCTGAAGATCTGACCCTGATCCACAGAAGTGATGGAGTGAGGTCATCCCTCTGGTCCGTTCCCATAAAAGGACTCGCAATTTCCTTTTTGCTGCGTGTGTATGTGTGTGTCCTCATTGGCATGTTTGATATGTACACAGAACAAAGCTTGTTTATCACACGCTGACACACACACACACACCTTGACGGCTGTTTCGGCTCACATGATGGTCACATGATCAGCGAACCTTTTCTGTAGTTTTTTTCAAGTCAGAATCTGAAGGATTTTGTTTAATCCCCTGAGGGGAAATTGTTTCCTAAAAACAAACAATGTAACGATGGAATCAAGTTTGGACATTATTCATTTG